CATACATACATTACACATATATATAAATTAAAGAAATCAACAATTCCACAGACCAAAACCCAATAAACTTTTAGTGCGTGTCTTGGGTAAGGAGGAGAGAAAGTTGGCATTACGTAATGGTTTACTTGACTCTTCTTCGCTAGGCTACCGATTACGAAAATCAGGGGAATTCATTAGTTTTTCAGCAAATTTAAGACCTGTTTTATTTTTACGACTTATTACGACTTCTTGCAACGGACTGAGGCATCAGGATAAATAGTAAAATTAGGACCCGAGATGATTTTACGAACACTTCTCTATGTGGCTGGTTGTTGTCCTGTTAGGCTCGGCTACGAAACAGGAACCGCATATATAACTATAGTAATTTACTAGCCAAGCTAAAACGTTTAACATTAATAGGAGTTCATTAGCTCGTTTGATTTTTTTGTCAACTTGTAATTGCCATTTCAAATCGTTAGTTTATCTTAATACCTAAAATTGTTACAGCATTAGTAGATTTAGGTTGTGTATTTAATAGAATTAAAGGCTCAGCCACATGGTTAGATCAGATGTGACATCCATATACATATTATATTTATCATGGTTAAGCTCCATATTGTTGGCAACCCACTCCTCCATAGAAATCCGAATCTGATTGTAACCATGTGGCACACACCACATTGGAGTTACAGTCAAGAAGTACTTTGATATCTTGCATATTGAAAACGTTGTAAGAGGAAATTTTAAATCCATGGCAGAATGTATAATCTTGCACTCATATTGATTAATTTGTAAATTACAATATTATGATCAAAAACTTTGCTAAATGCAGTAATAACAATAATAATTATTAGTATAACGATCCTAGAAAGGCGTTATATATACAATAGGATGCTTAAATTTTGAATCTATTTACGTGTGTGAAACTGCATAGAATTCAAAACTAGACGAGAGTAACAAAAATAAAGATGTTGTAAGCCAACACATCATCCATTAGAACTCGATCATCCATTAAAAATCTGAATTAGAAGTCATGCACAAATCAGCCATAACCGATCACATGATCAAATACACCCATACTCCAGACTGTAATAACTCTAAACACCTACAAATAGAATCAAGCTGGCAGGAAAGACAAATCAAAGAAGCACTACTTTGGAACAGAAAAGCAATAACACCATAAAGAGAAATGATGGAGCAAACTGTCTTTCTCAATGTACTACCAACTCCTACACCCCGAAGAGCTGGGGTCCCCGTTGACTATCCTGATGGGAGAGCTGATAGAGGCCGTTACATAAGATCACAATATAAATAGCATCAGCCCGGTTAATTTTTCCTGAAAGCAGATCGAAAAGTACGTATCCATTTATTGATTTGATTTCATGAATTTTACCTATCTATCACTATATGGAAACCTATTGAAATTATTCAAAATTATAGAAAGACTTCTGGGATTGTTCACATGTGCATAGATGTTGTTCAGAAATGTTACAAGATAGTGTTGATAGCCCTTTACGATTGTAAATTGGTTGTCATCGATTATTGGTGTAACACCTGCATAAATCAGTCAATGGCAACATATTTCGCTACTTTATTGAAGTGAAACTGGGCGTAGCTTATCTCAAGTGGTGGATTAGATTTCAGAATAGGAACGACTACAGCTCGTTTCCATTGATGGGAAAGAACAACTTCACAGAACGATGTATTCAACACATCAGTTAATGGACGGCTAATTCCATAGACAAACTTGTCTAATCTTAACCGGTAATCCATCAAGACCACCAGCTTTCCAAATATTAATTTTAATAAGTCTATTATAAACAGACCATGGGTATACTACCCCCCCTGTCTCTTATACACATCTTAGAGCAGTCATGTTGTGCTATAGTAGAGCCTAGGCCATTGAATTGTTTTCATTTCTTTCTGTGATTAAGGCCAATCCCTACGGCTAAAATAAGACTAACTAGGCCTAGGCCTATGTATTATTTCACTCTGTGTAGGCCCATAAATTGATAATATTTCAGGCATCCTAATTTTTGGAAAGAAAAAGACACAGGGGCAATTTATTTTTTCTTACATTGGTTGTACCATGAAGGAATTACTTGTACGGACTGCTATGCTGTGTGATTACAGACAGGGAGATTAATGCAAAACATAGCTGAAGTTTGCATGAAGTCAACATAACATAACACGCTCTCGGCTGAACCCGTTGTATTTATCAACGGTGACAGCAACGATAAGCCTTATGTCATAGCTTAGATCATATCCACTTTAAATATATAAACAGTAAATTAATTGTCGCTAACGTCTAACGTAATATCAAAACATAATATTCTGCATATTATTCCTCACATAAATCATGTATCATTTTTTCAACTAATTATAATGGTTATACTAAGTACGACAGCAATATAAATAGCCGCTTCGAACATCCCTACTCATCAGGCACACATAAAACCTTGTCTCCTTCTGACACCCGCCGAACCCGTCTCCTTCTGACACCCGCTGATACAGCGCGCTAAGCTTATCTTCTCAATTGCTCTACTCTAATAATAACATCATGGGAAAAACTAGCAACATATAATTTATGTATCATGAATTAAACTTACTTCTTAGCAGGAATGCCCTAATTTAGTGAATTACAGTAGCTTCTAGAAGTCTCTAATTACCCGAAGAATTACTTTTAATCATAACACATTTTTCATCGCTCTGCAGGTCAGCTTACTAAATCCAAATGTCAAAGGTTTTCTAACCCACATGTAAAAATAGTTTCAACAAAACATCACGTTCGCGAAATCCATTATGATGAAAGTAAAATAAATTAAATTTCTCAAAAACAGAAGTCAGTCTGGTACAAAATATGTTTTCAATGATTCTACAAACTACGTGAGATCAGAAATAGGGTTGTAATTTCCGGTGTTTTGAGCCTTTTTGGAAAATGGCCTGCTTTAATTAGTTAGGAAAATTACTATTACTAAAGGACAAATTAAAAATGTAACATATAGAAACATAATGTTCAGCAATTGAGATCAATTAGTGGTTTAGAAAGGAAAGCATTTATCATAGGGGAGGATGGTATTTCATTAGCGATACATTACAGATATCTGTCATTTCATTTCATTTTATTCCAAATTCATATTATAATAATACAAATTCCAAGGATAAAAAACACAACAAAGTAACGCAAAGGTCAACTTATTTCCATTGTGGTCCTTAAAAAAATAATTACGTGAAAATTCATAACAACTACTAAAATTCCTCATAATACAAAAAACAGCACAAAATTACAAAACCACTGCCACACTACTACTACGATCATTACCATTACTATTTCCTCTGATTAACCACTTTTTAGATGTTTTTTTTTTTACTTTTCTGTTAAATTCGCAGATTGTTGATGACTGTTGTATTCTACTCAGTGCTGAATTTTAAATAATTGTTGTTGAAGATAAAAATGTAATGTGGGTACCAATAACATGGCTATAGATAGCAAATTTAGAGAATCTAGTCTTTGTATTCCTTTTCTGAGATATTTCGGGCTTAAATTGTTTAAAATGCGATACATATGATTTAATTTTAACTGATTCACTCTAAGGTCAATTGGAAACCAGTTTAACTTAAAAAATTCATTGGCACCAATATGAGCCCAGTGGGATACACCAAAAATACATCTCATAACTTTATTTTGAGATGATTGTAACTTTACTTTCAACGATTTTCTTAAACAAGTATACCAAAAACTGCATCCGTAATCATAATTGCAGAGAATAAGACTGGAGGCTAACAATTTT